CACTGACCTCCTTAACCCATATTTATCATTTTGAAGGCCATACATTGCTTATATATTTTTAACTAGTTGCCAGCATTTTACAATTGGGAGATTCTTACATTAAAAAAAATCACATTTCTAGCTTTTTGAAAACATGAAAGGTGGAGCATCATGGAGCCGGCTCTTCCACAAAGCACCAGCTGTCGGGGCCGAGAGGCAGGGCTCTCTCCCGTTCACCAAAGCTCTGCTCAGCACCCTTTACGTACAACCGTCCCCTGAGTGGCTCCCGTCAGCATTCGCTGAGTATAGTGTCATTATAATCTCTAGCAACTCTGTACTGTGGAAATTATTACCCCCAGTTTCTATACGAGCAAACTGAGCCTTACAGAGGATCAAAGAGCCTCAAAGAGAAACGATGATGCCAGGCACTTACTGAGCACTTCACAGGCCTGCCTTTGTGCTCAGCTAGCCCCCATTTTACAGATGTGGGCAGTGAGGCTCAGAGGTGTGATATCACATGCCCGCCTGCAGTTATAAAAGAAGCTAGCATGTAAAACCAGAGTTCCTGCAGTGGAGCTGACCCCTCCCACCACTGCTGCCACCACCGCTGCTACCACCACTGCCACCACCGCAGCCTGTGGCCCTCACCCCCCAACTCCCCGCTGGAGGGACCAGCCTGCAGCCCCACACAGGCAAACCTCAGGGGCACGTGCAGACAGACGGCAGGGGCCGCTGGGCTGGGGGGTCAGCCAGCCTGTCCCAGACAGGCAGGCAGAAGCAGCGGACTTAGGAAAACCTCCTGGTCCCCGAGGAAATAAGCCAAGAGACATGATTAACTGCTCGAGGATGGGGATCTGATAAAGCCAAAGACTCCCCGCCCAGGGCTAAGAAAGCCAATTACTTTGGGAAAGGTCTCCTATTCAACATGGAAAATACCCCCGGTCTCACATGGAATCACATTGCCGCTGTCTCCCTACACACGCTCCCTGGGGTTCAGCTCCCTTCGGAATAGATATATATATTTATATATATATATATACCTACATATATTTTTCTTGTACAGAAATGTTAAATTCTCAAGATTAAGTATCTTCAGTTGAGGAAAATCAATTTACTTCTTTGAAGAGGCTGGAATTGAAAGTCATGAGCCTGAAACTTACTTTCTTGCCAATTTTACTGATAAAAAAAAAGTCTCTTCATTCTGGCGCATCTCCCTGTATTGGCTGCTCCAAATGATTCCATTAATTGATCTGGGCGACTGGCCCTGAAGCAGTGCTTACTAAGGTCCCCAGTGAAACCGGGGCAGGCAGGAGGACTCAGGAGCCACGGGCATGTGCGACTGTTCCCTGGGGCGGTGACCAGAGGAACATGGGGTTCTGGTGGTCAGGCCCAGGGAGATGGGAAAGAGGCCTGAGGTCCCAGGAGGGGCCCCAGATGTATCCCTCCTTGTCTCATACATGCCAGAGGGAAGCTTTTCGGCGATGTGCCCAGAATCAGAATCACAGACGGACTCAGTCCCCTAAGGGGGACAGAGACCATGAGTGGATGTGTTTAAAAATGAGGTCCCAAGATGTAGGACAAGCACAGTGGGTGGCCATTCTAGAGAAGTAGACGTCAGACCCATCCGCCTACAGGTGACAGAGGTAGTGCATTTGTTGACCCTGAACTTGAGGCTGGCAGAGAACAACCTCTTGAAACCAGCCTCACAGCCAGCTCCCTGTTCGTTTACCACCAGAGGCTTTCATGTGTCTTTCCTCAAAGTCTGGTGGCCTCAACGCTTCCTCCAGCCCCACTGGAAATTTCTGTCTCCTTTAATGATGTAGTGTTACTGGAAAGAGCATATGTTTTGATGTCGAGCTTGCCTATGTATAGAAGGAATGGCGCGTTGGGGGGAGGATGCAGGGAGGAGTTTGCAGAGTAAGAACAAGCTCTTCTATTCTGAGACAGAAGGAATGGGGCGGGACTCCCTGAATGGTTCATTTCAAGTTACTTCTACCAGTTTCGAGACTTTACCAATGGCTGACTATGTGCATGGGAGGTGAGTGGGTAAGATGGATGAGGTGGAGAGGTGGATGGATGGATGGACAGATGGTTGACTAGATGGATGAATGGATGGGTAGATAGGTAAAAGGCAAAGTGGGTGGTCAGATAGTTAGTTGAATAAATTAGTGCATAGATGCTGTGTGAGCGAATGGATGAGAACACGAACACAATGAATGAGGGGACAGTGGATGAATGGAGGGGTGGAGGGACGGATGGATTGCATGCATGCATTGGAGGTGTGAGGGGAGCCCCAGTGACCTCATCAGCCCCTGGTTCCCAGCTCTGGTAGAAGAAGGAGGATCTGGAGAGCAGGAAGGATGGGTGGGAAAGGAGCTGAGGATGGGAAAATAGTATTTAGCCACCACAAGCAGGAGGGCAGAGCATCTGTGGAGCATGTGTGCCCACTAAGCAGGGATGGTAGGCCTTGGGTATCAGATTAACGGAGTAGTTGGCACTGATTATCTGAAAACCAAAACAACTGAATTGGGAACAGAAGTAGCTTGTGTGAGTATGTGAGAGTGTATCAGTTATCTGTGGCTGCATAACAAATTACCCAACACTTAGCGCCCTAAAACAACATTTGTGATCTGCTAGTCTGTGGGTCAGGGTTCAACACAGCTTGATTGGGCCCCCTTGGCTGGAGTCTCACTGGCTGCATTCAAGGTGTCAGCTAACACTGCAGTCATCTCGGGGCTTCTATTCCAAGCTCCCTGATGTGGCTCTTAGTGGGATTCAGTTCCTCCTTGGCTGTTGACCAGTGGGTGTCCATTCTCCACTGACCATTCGCTGGAGGCCGCCCTTCATTCCTTGTGGGTCTTGTGGGCCTCTCCATGGGCAACTCACAACACGGCAGCTGCCGGCTTCCATCAGGGCAGCGAGAGTACAGCAGGACGATAGTTCATGCGCATGTAGCCTAATCTCCACAGTGACATCCCATAGCTACTGGGGGGAGTTAAAAGCAAGTCTTGATGTCCAGCCCACATCCAGGGGTAGGGCTGAGTCCCGGTGATGGGGGTCACTGCAGCCATAGAGAAGCTTCCTGCCACAGAGAATCCAGGCAGGAAAGGTAGCAGAGGAAGAAAGGACCCGAGAGATAAAAGAGTCTGGGGGTGGGGGAGGTGTCAGAATATCAGAAATTATCTACAAAATAAGAAATGTCTGGTGAGTCAGAAGAGCTGGACATTGGGAAAGTTTTTAAGGGCAATAGTGGTGGAGGGGCATTTGGGCTACGGGAGGCACTGAGACAGAGGAATAACTGAGAGGATGGACTGGCTGGAGAGAACAGAAGGTTTGGAGGCTAGAGTTGCAGAGGTAAGAGAGTAACCATGGAAGTGGAGTAGCTAGAGAGCAGAAAGAGCTGAAAACAGGAGAAAGGCTGAGGCCTAGAGGAGCTGGGAACAGGCAGCTTGTGCTCTGGTAGAACCCACTGAAGCTCCGGGCATCCAAGCCCTTCCAGGCCTTTGGCTTTGGGGACAGATACATTTGCAGGCCGGGGAGTGGTGGCGTGTCTGTGGATGTGCCCCCAGACCCTGTGCCCAAAGGAGCTATCACTGGTACTTGACAGAATCTGGGCTCAGGTGGAATTCCAAGTGGGGTCCTGCCTGCAGCTTCGGGGGCCTCCCCTCCCCCTGGCAAGCCCCAGTCTACAGGGGCCAGTTTCAGAGGGGTCTCACAGAGCTAGGAAGCACCTGGGGAGTAGAAGGCACACTTTCCTCCCAGCCTCTCCCCACCCCCACCATCCTGCTCCTGGCAGACAGTTTCTTCCCCATCTCTGTCCACCCCCAGCCCTGCGCCTGCCTGCTCGAGCACACCCATGCTGTCACGGTCACGCACACCGGAGCCGGGCCGGGTGCCAGTCAGACAGGCTGACGTCACAAACAGGCACAGCCAGACTTGGAAACTGCCGGCACAATGGGGTCTGCAGAGCCACCTGCTCCCCTGGGATCAGCGGGGGCAGGGCCCATCCCTGCTGGGAGCAGGCAGCTGGCAGGCGCTACATTCACAAGAAGTCTCACGAAGGCCACGCACCCAGGTCTGCCCGGTCTCCTCGGCAGCAGGGGACATTCGGTGTCAGGCCCCTGTTCCCGCCCCAGTGCCCTCTCTGAGTCTCCCCAGCCAGGCAGCAGAAGCATTGCAGCCCACCCACCAGCTCTAGTCTTAGGGACACTGGTTCTCACGCAGCAGCATCTAGCCAGGAGGCCCTGGGGACAGAGGGGCAGGGCTTGCAGACACCTGCTCTGACAGCCCCACACCTCACCCCATCCTGGAGTTCCCACCCTGCTTCTCTCTCACTGGGGTAAAATGGAACATGAACCCTCATCTCAGACAAAACCTTCCCGAGACGCAGTGCACTGCAGTTGACATGGGGGGCCCAGAACCCACGAGCTTTGCCATCATTGCCATCCACCTCTCCCTCTGTACCCTCGCAGTGGTCTCTGGGAGTCAGTGCGGCTCAATGGTTAGGAGCATGGACCCTGGAGCCAATAAGTCTGGGTTTCAAGCCTGGCTCTGCCCCTTGGTGTCTGAGTGACCTTAGGCGAGTTACTTAGTCATGCCTCAGTTTCCTCATCTGTAACATGGGGCTAATGTACCTGCCTCCTATGCTTGCTGTGAAGAGTCAATGAACAAATGCAGTAAAGCACTTAGAATAGTGCCTGCACATATAACTATTTAATAAATAATAGAGAAAGAAAATTAATTTTGTAAAAGTTGATGTGAAAATCACTTGTGCCATAGCAAAGAGCCAAGGGTTTCCAGACAGGTGGGCCTGCGTCTGAATCTTGGCTTTGTCACTCACCAGCCCAGTGTTTTGGGACCCGCCCTCCTAGGGCCTCAGTGCCCAAGTCTGAGCAATGGGTGGCACCCCCTCACGCTGAGCTCTGTGGGCAGACCTCCCTGCCCGGAGCTCTGCCCGGCAGGGTGCGCAGTGCTTGGTCCCTGGTAACTGTGTGTGCATCACCCCTCCCCTCGTGTCCCAGAAATCCAAGATCTCCACCTTCGAGAAGATGTGGGCCTTCATGAGCAGCAAGCCCTCGGCGCTGGTCAAGAACAACGAGGAGGGCATCCAGAGGACGCTGACGGCGGACTACGCGCTGCTCATGGAGTCCACCACCATTGAGTATGTCACCCAGAGGAACTGCAACCTCACCCAGATCGGAGGCCTCATCGACTCCAAGGGCTACGGCATCGGCACGCCCATGGGTGAGTGAGATGCTGCAGGCAGGGGTGTGGGGGAGGTGGGGCGGGGCTGGGCCCCCTCATCCCCTCCCACACACAGTCTCCGGCTCCAGCTCCCAGCTCACCCCACTGAGCCTAGAGAGGTGGCTGGCATTTCCTCTGCCCAGAGAGAAGGGGTGGAGCCACGTGCCTCTCGAGGTCCGCCCTGGCCTCAGCAGAGAACTGGGGCAAACCCAGAGGTGGGGACCGTTCGGAGGTCACACCTGCTCTCCCTGGCCTGACCCCTGTCGAGATAGCCCGACACAGTGTGCTGTGCAGGGGCCCGTGGAAACAGGGATCCAGAGGGAAGACTCCCTACCTCAGGGGAGCACCCTCCGGCCCACCCAGATGCCATATATAAAGAGAGAACTTCTGGCAACAGGGTCCCCCTTTTCACGAGCTCTCCAAGAGGGCCAGCGATGGCGGCTGACACCAGCCAGGGTGTTGTCAGGGACACAGGGGCTGAATCGAGTGCTGCTGACATCTGTCCCCTCTTCCCACCATAGGCTCCCCGTACCGGGACAAGATCACCATCGCCATCCTGCAGCTGCAGGAGGAGGACAAGCTGCACATCATGAAGGAGAAGTGGTGGCGGGGCAGTGGCTGTCCCGAGGAGGAGAACAAAGAGGCCAGCGCGCTGGGCATCCAGAAGATCGGGGGCATCTTCATCGTGCTGGCCGCCGGGCTGGTCCTGTCCGTGCTGGTGGCCGTGGGCGAGTTTGTGTACAAGCTCCGCAAAACAGCAGAGCGAGAGCAGGTGAGCCCCTCTCACCGGTGCCTGCAGGGGAGAGGGAGGAAGACGGCAGAAAGGGACTTGTGCTGGTGTCACGCCTCCTGTGTGCCAGGCACACGGTAGTGTCAGGCCCCACCCCCATCAGAGCACACGCTGCACCCCCTCCACCAGGGAGCCCAGCCAGTCCCACCCACCAGTCCCACCCGACTCCGAGCACACCTCCCTTCCCTGCGGCTCCCTCCCAGGCCGAGCCCCGCCATCTCTAGCTGGACCACGCAACAGCCTCCAGTCTGGCCTTCCTGCCTCCACGCTTCCTCTCCTCTACCCACTCTCCATCCACAGCCAGTCCCCTGCTTACAACTTGATTCAAACCATGCCCTTCCCCTGTGTAAACCCCTCCAGGGTAATTACCGAAGCTGGGTGATGGTTAACTAGGGGTGCATTATACTGATCTGTCTACTTCTGCTTGTATTGGGAAATTTCTGTAATTAAAAGTTTAAAAAAGAAAAGGGTTCAGAGGTCCAGCCCAAGCATTCAGATGGGAGAACCTGTCTGATTCATCCAAGCCTGGCTGGTCAGTGGCTCTGGGTCCTGGGAGCAAGTTAGAATCACAGGGAGAGAGCGTTTTAAGTGCTAATGTCCTGGCCTCACTCCCGGAGACTCTGTTTTAATTGCTCTGTAGTAGAGTCCGGCATTGGCATCTTAAGAAAGTGCGTGGGGTGGTTTCAATGAGCGCCTGAGCCGAGGGCCGCTGTGCTGGGGGAAGCGCCTCTCACAGCGAAGCTCAGAGTGATACAGGGCCAGTGCAAAAGGAGACGGTAGTTAAGTCCTGTGTGCGGGGGACCATTCAACGCAGGCAGCTTTTTACATCCATCAGAAATGACATGGAGGCCTTTATAACCAGCAAGCCTGAGTCAGCAGCGCAGGCAACAGCAGTGGCCAAGGATATGTGTGGTTTTATTTACCAAGATGTCCGTTGAAGTGTGAATTATCACATAAAAAAAAAAATAGGAAAAAAACTCAATGTCCAGTAATTAGGAACAGCTAAAACAAATAAGATACATTGTTTTAAAAAGCAAACTTCTTTAGGAATTACTATTATCATTGGAATTAAATTCCACCCAAAAGCCTACTGGATCTGGTCCTCACCCACCTCTGCCTTCCGCCTTCCCACCCCGCCCCACCCCTTCTCTGCTGCATACACACTGGCCTCCCTTTTAGTCCTTCGTGCACCAAACGTGTGTCAGCCTGGGGCCCTTCGCACGGGCCGTCCTGTCCACCTGAGGTGCCCCTCCCCCAGAGCGCCGTGTTCTTGGTGTCTTCCAGTCATTCGGTTTCCGCTCAGCCGTCGCCTCCCAAGTAGCCTTCCCACCTGCCCCTACTTCCAAACCCTTTCTAACCCATTTCACTGCTCTAGTCTTAATCATAGGTATCACTATCTGAAATTATTTGCTTACATGTTTATTGTCTGTCTTTATCCCATCATTAGGCTGTAAGCCCCCTGGAGGTTGGGAGCGTATCTGTCATTTTCACTGCTGACCGCCTAACACCTAGAGTAGTGCCTGGCACACAGAAGGGGCTCGAACAATATTTTCAGAGTAAAGAAAGGGAGGTGAGGGCTGATGTTCCATGTTTAGTGGGTGAACAAAGAGAAGCCTGGAGAGGGCACACGGCTGGTAAGAGGCAGAACTGGAAGTTGAAGGCAGGTCCCATCCCCTGCACCACAGAGCCTTTGTACGAGCTGTCCTGGTGCCGATGCTCTGGCCTCACTGGGTAAACTGAGGCACTGGTAGTCCCCACGGCCTTCCAGGCAAGCTACAGGACAACCTCTGCCCTCAGATACCCGCGAGGGATGCTGCACTTCTGCTGTCCCTCTCAGGTACTCACAGGGACTTCGGCCAGAGGAGGCTACTGCCACCCAACTGCCCTGCAGGGACCTACCTCCCAGATGGCCACCTTGAGAAACACATACTGGACTTCCCTGAGTGGGAGCACGGTGACTCTCCCCTTACCTGGAAGCCCTCCCAGGAGAGGGGTCACCCACACACTCGTCAAGTGTATCTGAGACCCTGACCCCAGGCCAGGACTAGCGCCAGGGGCTGGGCTCCTGCAGAGGAAACTGGCTGGTTCCCGCTCTCATAACCCAGTGGGGAAAGGTTAGGTCAAGTCCTCAAACTTTAGTGTATATGCCACTCAGAGCTTCGGTTTGCAGGGATAAGATGATACTACCTGCCCTTCGACCTTAGTCTCCAAACAAGATGGGATGCTCCGTAGGCTGCTACACAAACCAGTCATCCTGCAGGGAGCAGGGGGTGGGTGGGGTGACAGGGTAAGAGAGACTTGGTGGCCTTAGCACAGGCTCGGGAGCAAGGGGAGGAGTTGGCTGGAGGCGCAGGGCCAGGCCTCACCTGTCTGCCCTTTCTCCTCCCACCCCCACCCCAGCGTTCCTTCTGCAGCACTGTGGCCGACGAGATCCGTTTCTCCCTCACCTGCCAGCGTCGGGTCAAGCACAAGCCGCAGCCTCCCATGATGGTCAAGACAGACGCCGTCATCAACATGCACACGTTCAATGATCGCCGGCTTCCGGGCAAGGACAGCATGACCTGTAGCACATCGCTGGCCCCCGTGTTCCCCTGAGCACTGGTAGGGTGGGCACCACCGGCCTGAGGGGCAGGGTGAAGGAAAACAAAGGAGACTGGAAGGAACGTCCCCTATCCCCACACTGGGCTTGGGGACCAGAGCTGCTGCCTGCCTTTTGGGCCAGGAGCCCTCTGCCCTTACCTCCTGGGAAACCAGCAGGCCCCCAGGCCAGCTGCTTGGGCTTCACTTTCTTCCTATTTCTTCTATGGGTTCTAAAGCTGCCAGCCGAGACAGCCAAGGCCAAAGGAAGCACATGCCTCTCTCAGGCCAAACTCACCTGCCCCTCAACTTTCCTCTACAGTCAGAAGTTTCTGCCACGGCCCTGCAGAGGCCAAAGAAAATAGAAACCACTGTTTTATTGCCACTCCTTCCCCATGAGCCCTCCTGGGGCTAGACTGAGAGAGCAGAGACACAAACCCTGGGCATCTTAAGGATGGTACAGCTGGGCTGCCAGTGGGAGTGGAAGATGGAGGACGGCCATCCCCCATGCCTGGGAAGACTTCCTCCCCGCAGGGCTGCTCATGTGGTTCTGAACTCCTGGATTTAGCACCACCCGTGGCAGCCTCTGTTTGGGCAAAGTTGAAGGCAGAGGCCTCCATAGGGAAGAAGAGGATTTGAGGTCTGGAAGAGAGAAGAATGCACAGAGGCAGGAATGCACCATGTCCAGTGGCTCCTACTTCTCTGGAAGAGTGGGGGAGTAGTTGGAGAAAATTATTTTCCACTTTCTGGCCAGAGGAGAGAAGACCCCCCGAACCTCTCAAAAAGGAGGATGCCCAGAGACTCAGCCAATAGTTGAAGCCCAGAGGAACCGTGGATTCCATGGAGATTCCACAGGCCCCTCAAGTCATCGGATCTTATTTTGCTGGTTCCCAAGCTGTTTTTTAAACCCCGGTGGCATTAGGGAGCTTGGGCTCTTTGCCACATACTCATCAGCAACTTCCTGTTCCTGGCCAGGTGGCCTTGAGACCCTCGGTCATCTTGGAAGAAGAGTGGCCTAGATTAAAGGGAAAGTCAAGTCAGGCCTCCTCAAAAGAGGGGTCCAGGTCCTACTGCACAGGCTAACTTTGGGGTATATGGGGAAAACTAGAGGGGCCCCAAAGAACTCCCAGCCTCCTGGACTTGCCAAACCTGAAGATAACCCCCCAAAATGAAAGGTTTTAGGGGCAGGATATCATGGCTGGTAGAGGCCCTAAGGGTGGGAAGAGAGAAGCTGCCTCCTGGAGAAATAACCAAAGAGCCCGTCCAGAGACACAAGGCAATCCTGGCCCTGGTCTCTTGTCCAGAGCAGCTGGGACCTTGTGGGACTTGGGGGTCCAGCAGAGAAGTGGTAGCAGATGGGGTACCAGGGAGGGGTACACCAGATGGATTCCAGCTAGCTGTGATGCATGCTCTAGAGGTCTGTGACTTTAAGATTCTGGAAAAAGAATGAGACACAGAAGGGTTAGGAGCAAAGTGTCCTTAAAGAGAATGTGATGGGGCCAGCAGGGCTTCCCACAGCCAAGGGCGGAGGGCGGTCTTTGAGCAGGGGAAGCAGACCACTGATTCTGGACAACCCAGAAGCACCAGCCACCCCCTCCCACCTCTCTCCTATTTCTGCTTGAGGAGCCTCACTGGGGAGGAGCTACATTTAGGTCTCAAGGACCTTCTCAGCTGGGGTGAAGGGTAGTCTCGAGCTCCCCCAGGGACTTCCAAAGCAGGAGAGCACAGTGGACTCGTATGACAAGTACTGTCCCTCCTGGGGACTGTGAGCTGCAGGACCAAACCAGCTGGTTCCCAGAATCAGAGCAACTCTGCCTGGCTGTGTGCACTGGAGGTGGGAGAAGAGGCCAGACATGCAGCACAGCTGACACATGTAACGATAGGAAAAGCCATGTTGTCGTGAGCTTCTGGGTGCAGGAGTGTGTGTGTTCATAAGTGTGAATCTGTGTCTTGTATGTGTGAGTTAGGGGGCTGGGGGAGAAGGACAGATTTGGACATATCCAGAGTCCGGGGCAGGCAATAATAGGAGAACCCTTTTGGTTCTGCTGCATGTATGTGTACACATGTGAGCATGTGTGTGAATTGAAAATGAGGGGGACCACTCTGGACAAGCAGCATAGCCCTATATGTGTAAAAACAGGAGAAGCCATGTCATAGTGGGGTTCTGGTGAGTATATGTATATATACACGCATGCACGAGTGTATGTGTTTGTGCATGCATGTGCATTTGTGCACCAAATGGCAGAGGGTAGAGGACAGGATAAAACCTGCAGCATTGCCAAATATGTTTTAAAGGAGAAGCCATGTCACCAAGGGGTCCATGTGTGAGCACGTGTGCACAGGCATGTGTGGGCCTGTGTGTGCAGCAGAGAGCATGACAGAGGACAAACCCAGACAGACCTGCAGCGAGGTCAGTGCCTGTTGTATGTGAGGAGCCATGGGGAACTGGAGTTTGCGTATGTGTGTAGGCTCACACGCGTGTTCAGTGCACACATATGTTCCAGCTCACTGCAGGAGCAGAGATGGACAATCAGGAAAGCAGGGAACCAGGGTCTGCTTGCACTGCTATCACGGGGACAGAACTTTTGTCACAAAGATTTGCTGAGATTGTCTAGGCACAGACGCAGGGACACTGGCCAAGTGTGGGCGAAACTTCAGAGACTCGTGGCTGGTGACTCCTCTGCTCTAGGCGGAGTGCCGTGTTTGAAAGGAAAAATGACATATTTTTGCAATTTCCAGGTAACAGGATTCTAATGAAAGTATTTGCCCATTTGCTCTCATCAACCACAGTAACCACTGTCTTTCTTCATCCAATATAATTTCTTTGCACATGCCCACACCCATGCTCATATCACACACACACGTGTGTGCCTCTATGTATAACACTCCATGAACATGTGTTCTGCTGAGGCTATGCACATAGACAGACTGTGATGAGAGACAGAAAAGGCAGCGGCATGGGCTTTCATCAAAGGAGTGAAGAGTGGCGAATATCAGAGATGCAATTGAGTTAGAGAAGTCCCCCAAAGGCACTGAAATGATTTTTTGGGCTCCAAAATGGAAGTGGGATGACACGCTGCCTGATCTTCCCTCCCGCTTGAGCCTTATGTCCATATGTGTGGCTAATGTTCAACTTCTGGCTGACGTCCTGTGTTTGTCTTCGAGACCAGCCCAAGGTGCAGAGTGCAGTGGGAACGACTTCTGCCCAGGTGTGAGCTGTGTCTGTCCCAGGTACTGAAGGTTCTGCTACATCTGGGGGGTGGGGGTTGGAAAAGTGTTCCCAGCAAGGAGGATCATGTGGAATCCAAGTTTGGGCCCGCCTGCCAGCGGGTGTGGACTGTGCTCCAGCGGGTGTACCCAGATGCGTGCACAGAGGCACCTGAGGTCCGGGGTTGAGAGTGATGGGGAGTGTAAACGCTGGTTTGGATGGAGCAGAAGATGGGAGTTGCCTGAGCAGGTGCTAGACTGTCCCTGTCTGGCCCTACAGAGTGCCCCCACCTTCCACCCCCATCTCCCACCTCAAAATGCCAGTGCCTCCTCTCAACGCGCTCAGACCAGCCAAGCTGAGGGGCAGCAGTGAGGAGAAACACACCCGCCAAGACTCTTGGGCTTTGGGACAACGAGCCCTCCTTCTCTCTCTCCCCCTGACCTGTTACTGGTCTTCCTGCTGTGGCTGCTCAGACCCCCAGCACAGCCAAGACACTGCCTCAAGTAGCGGAGCACCATGGCTCACCCCGGGTGCTGGCGGGGGTGCTGGCAGGGGTGCTGGCAGAAGTAGGTGGAGACTCCAAGTGGCTAGAAGCCACTCCCCTCCTGAAGCTCTCAGAAGGCGGAAGTCCAACCAGGACAGTCAGAAGCTCCCTCCCTGCCTTCTTTTCCAGGGGGTGCTGTGTGGGGGCTTGCAGCTGCTTCTTTATCACTCAGCATGAAGCTGATCCCTCCCCAAGCCATCCCCAGCTATATGCACAAACATCCAGAAACAGGCTGAACTCTGGCCCACGCCCGGAATGGTCCTGAGTGGAGCATCATCTGGAAGGGCCAAACTCTGGTCAAAATCGCTGTATGGACTTAACACCTGGGACTGGCCCAGCCCCCTAGACAGATTTGAAAAATGAGCCCAACCCTGTAGACAGGTCTCCAGAATAGACACATCTGGAACAGACTCCCAAGTTGGGTGGACACATTGGGAACGGGCCCCACTGCTCGCCACTGCGGAGGGCCCTGCCCTCTGTCCCTGTGCCGGTTTCACGCTTTCGTGTCCATCTTGCATTTGCCCTGAGTTAAAATTTCAGAGTTGAGGCCATACGTGAAGTCACAAAACTGTTTTTGGTAGAAGGTGAATGTTCTGTACAATATATATATGAATGTAAAAAGATATATATATATGCTGTATATATATATATGCACAGTGTATATATGACCTGTAGCCCATGTGTATACGCACCCCTCCCTGCACGTCTGCACACGGAGTGTACATAACCCAGCCAGTATGGGTGGGGACCAGGTGAGAGATGGGGGCTACAGCAGCACAGTCCAGGACAGAGGCCACCGGGGGCAGAGGCGGCAGAGAGCCCCGTGGGGATGGGGAAAGGTGCACACGCACAAGAACTGCAGACCCTGAGGAAGAAGGCAGAGCTGTGCGGGCTGATGGGTGGGCCTCTGCGCAGCAGGTGCCCCCTGGGGAGGGACAGCAGTGGTGAAGGAGCCTTGTCTCCATCTGAGAGTGTCTGCAGCAGGACAGCAGGGCCTGTGGCTTGGGAGCAATGTCATGCCAGTACTGGGCTCCTGAGACCTGCTCAAACACCTGCCTGCACAACTGCCAGGTAGATGTCTGGTTCCACCTAGAATACCCTGAAAAGGCAGGAGTATTGTAGGTGGCAGAGGCCTCTGCCCCAGAGTCTCACCCCACACATGGGCACAGCTCATGGCTAGGGAAAGCACTTTTTAAAGAGAGTGGCCCTGAGAACATTACCAGCATGCCAGTATGATGTCCCAGTGTCCTCGTTATTGACCCCCTGTCCCCTGCCTTCTAGAACAGACCTCACATCACCCCACAGTGTGTCTCTACCTTACAGATCAAAACTCCGAGGCCTCCAGGTGCAGGGAAGCAGCTGTAGACCCAGCAATGCCGGTGAGGAGTCTGTCCCACCTCAGACAACTCCCCAGCTCCATGTGACCCAGAGGCCAGCTGTTGAAAGAACAGATGTGAGCAGAGCAGTGACATGGGTGACAGATGAGAAATCAACAAGGCCCGTCCTGTCCTAGCACAGCCCATGCCATGTCTCCCCCTTCTCTGCCCCGTAGCATCTGCCCCAGCAGGGCAGTTGGCAGGGATCCCCCAGAAGAAACTGCAGGCCTCCCTCCCCGCAGATTTGTCTGTTCGCTGCACTGCCGATCCCTCCGCTAGTGGTCCGGCCCCGTCACGGGTCAGAGAATCTCCAGAGCATGCAGGGGAGAGAGGTCTGGAGTGTGCTTCTACGTGGTCCGTAGCCCGCCCTCTGCTTCAGCCCCGCGCATCTGGCTGCTCTGCACTGAACTCTGGGTCTGTCCCGGGGCCCTGGGCAGAGCATGTCTGAACCCAGCCCCCCGAGGAGGGCTCTGTCACTGTGCTCCAAACCCCTATCCCATCTGCCTGCTGGGCCTCCCATGATGGGGACTCGGGTTCTCAGCCCCTGGGCTGAGCCCCCAGCCAGCACCATGTGAGACCCCCGGCCTGTCCCACCACCCAGACCAGAGTGCCTGGACGCCCCCCGCTCCCACACAACATGGTTCCCACACACTGGTCTCTGGGCCATTCAGGGGATGCCCTTTGTGGACATGCAGAATTTCTATGAATATAGTTTTTTGTAAACATTTTGTAACAATTTGGGTTTCATAGTAACTGTGTTACTTGCCAATCATTCTAGGCTAATGTAAATAAATTTCCAAACAAATCCGATTATTTTCCTTTTTAAGACACTGTGATATATCGAAGTGCACAGTTTGCTGTATGAAGTAATATGGTTTTAAATTTTAAATAAAGAAATGTTTCTAGAAAACAGGACCCCTCAAGCTGTGTTTTCTGCTTCTCTTCCCTCCCTAGAACCAGAGGGTGCTGGGCAATTGAGTTGTGGCACCTTCTCCCAGGGCTGACTGCCCCAGGCCAGAAATCCCGGTGAAGAGCAGGTAGGTGGTCCAGCCCAGGCTCCTGGCTCCCATGTCAGATATGGAGGGTGTAGTGCCTGTCCTTGGCATTGTCTGGCCTCCTTCTTCCCTTCTCATGGGCATGTCCCTCCCCAACTCATCTCTATCCACATAACTGCCTAGGGATTTGCCATGTCTCTATACGACCCTGCCTCTTGGGCACAGTTGGGGAGGATAAGTGGGCCTCTTATCCAAACTTGGTCAATCAGAGATCTTGCCTGAGCTTTTGCAAACTGGAAATGAGAAAGATCTAAGTCAACTACTCTTGGGAGATGGAAACTGTACATATAAAAATGGTTCAGCAAATGAGTGCATCAAAAACTATGGTACATTTACACAATGGAATTCTACGCAGCAGAGAGAAAGAAGGAGCCCCTACCCTTTGCGACAGCATGGATGGAACTGGAGAGCATTATGCTAAGTGAAATAAGTAAGGGACAAATACCGTATGATCTCACCTTTAACTGGAACATAATCAACAAAAGAAAAAAGCAAACAAAATATAACCAGAGACATTAAAATTAAGAACAGTCTAACAATAGCCAGAGGGGAGGGGACAGTGGGGAGAAGGGTTTTCAGGAACAACTGTAAAGGACACATGGACAAAACCAAGGGGAGGGTGGAAGCAAGGGAGAAAGGTGGGTTTGGCTGGGGTTGGGGGGAGTGGTGGGGAGAAAATGCAGACAACTGCAATTGAACAACAATAAAGTAATTTTTTAAAAAATGGTTCAGGTTGGGGCACATGAAGCAGGAAGGGATTGAACACAGATGGTTACAAAATTAATGAAGAGATGAGGAAGCCAGGCCAAGCTGGGGCTCCAGTGGCTCCCAGAGCAACACAGAACTGACTCCAGGCGATGGCTACCTCTGAGACTGACAGAACCATGAGGCAACAGCACCCCCCAGGGCTGCAACTGGGGCTCAGAAAGCCAGGATCGAGCATCTGCTGTTACCACTGCTCCAGCGCGATTGCTTCTCATCACCCAGGAGTCGGAGATGGATACTGGAGTGACGCTGGGGAAACCTCACGTTCCCAGTGACAAAACAACCCAAAGGTGCAGGGGAAGATGGCATCTGCCTCGCTTCTGCCCTCCAAACTCATGCAAACATTAACTGGTAAAGACTAATTTGCATCCAGAGCCCTCCATGCTTCCCTACAACACCATCATAACCATAGCCACACTGAGCAGTTCCTCTGTGGCAGGTGCTGTGCTAAGTTCTTGACACATTATATCCTCTCACCCTTGTCTCAGACCCTGACAGAGCTCAGCCCCCAACAACACCACCTTTCAGTCTCAGTGTCCACCACTTCTAATTTCCTGAGGAGTGACTGTGACTGGACCAGCTTGGGCCAGCTGGTCACCTGTGGTTCAATCAGCTGTGGGAGAGGGAGTGAAGGGCCACATAATGAAATCATGATACCCAGGTTCTTTGCTTTTGGAGAGTTGAGAAAACTGGAAAGTTCCATAGGAAGATAAATGGGTTGGAAAGAGCTTCTAAACTATGAGCTCTCCTTTTCCACCAGCTGACAAGTGCCAGGTGAGCCAAGCCCAGACCTCAGAAATCCCTGCACAATGGAGAGGAGTTCGAGACCCAGTCGGCTACAGGGTCTGAAAACTCTGGTCCGGCCTGGAGCCACAGCTCGGGAAGAGGTTTTGGGTCCAAGCCAGGTGAGAAGTAGGGGGAGGCCCTCAGTTGAAAAACATCTGTCAGCCATGGGAGGCAGAGGTAAGGTCTACTCCTTAGGAGTGAACAGTGGCGTTCAGAGTAGACTTCAAGACCAGCACAGAGTAGGGTAATATGGACAGAGAAAAGGAAGAGACCTGGTAGGAATGAGGTCCACAGTGGGGATGAAGAAACAGGTAGAGCACCCACTCATTCATCTGTCTATCCATCCATCCATTCATTCTCCCATTCATTCATCCATCCTCCCATTCATTCATCCATCCATTCATCCACCCACCAAATCAGCCAGAGGAACTGCTCAGTTTGGCTATGATTATGATGGTGTCGTAGGGGAGCATGGAGGGCTCTGGATGCAAATTAGTCTCTACCAGTTAAATGTTTGCATGAGTTTGGAGGTCAACCAATTCTCTATTCCCATCTACCTATCCACCCACCCTCAATCCATCCATCCATGCATAGAGTTAAACAAATAGATTGGGTATGAGCCCCAGCTCTGCCACCTACCAGGTGTATAACTTGGAACAAGCAATTTAATATCCCTGAGCCTCAATTTCTTCATCAATAAATCACATGATCATGAACCACCCCTTCACTCCAGCTACCACCACGTCCTGTAGAGTGGATGTGGAGATTAAACGAGAAAAACCATGTTAAGTGCTTAACACAGGTCTGGGAGTATCATAAGCCAACAAAAGTGATAGTAATTTTTGTTAAGACAAAGAACAAAGAGGAGAAGGAGAATTAGGACCTACTGTATATGCTGAGTCCTCTGGGAATACAGTGGTGAGCCGTGAAGCAAGGTTCCTCCTCCAGATCTCAGAACCTGGCCCAGAAGCCAATCTGTGACCCTCTGGGCTATGGATTAGGCTCAGCC